TGGGGGGGGGCGGCGTGTGTGTGTGTGTGTATTTTTTTTTTACATCTGGTTTACTTTTTGTTTTCTACAGTGTGTTGTCTTCAATTTGAATAGGCTTTGGGTCTCTCCTTTTAGAGTCCTGCACGGATTTCAGATTGAACTAGACTAATTAAAGTAAATTTCTTTCGTCTCTCTTTCTGGGCGTGTTTTTCTGATGTATTGCTATTCAAGGTAGGGAGGGAAAGTCTGTCTGCTCCCAACCCCTCCTCGCACCCCACTCCACAATTGTGGGTCAGAGTTTGGTTTTGGGGAGTGTACTGATCAGCCAATTAAAATCTCTGTAAGACTTTGTTTTTCCTGCTCTTTTTTGCAACTGATATCTCATGACCTGATAATATTATAGGCTAATTCAATATACTGTTTGAAAGATGGTAGTCATAACTTTTTCAGAAAGTTTGAAACCTTTTGCTTCTGGAAATTTTGGGTTCTGTGATTGACTTGTGTGACTTGTGAAGATGCTATCCAATCAAGAAAGCAGACCCACACACAGTCTTCAGAATTCAAAGGGGAATAAGGAAAGAGGAAATGATTCTGATTATCCTGCAACTAGTTTATTACATATTAAAACTTCACTAATTAAGTTTTGTAGCTGTACAAATGAGAAGTTGGAATTTTCAGCTTTGAATTAGGAGAAAACATTCATTTCCAGGCTTGGCAGTTCACAAGAAATTTGACCTTCAAACTGTGTTAGACTCGCCCCTCAATCTAGTAGTACTTTTTGTCACTTGTCCAGGGCTGAATATAGTAAGCTGATGAACTTCATAAGAGTATAAATTTCGGACCTTGGAGACTTACAGAAGGCTAATTTTGAATTCAGAATTTCTGGAGATGCCTCTTTGCAGAGGCATCTCAGATAAGACTTTCCTTTTAAACTTTTTTTTTGCTTTTTGATATGCATTTCTCTGTCTCCATCATTTTTGACTGTTCCTTATCCATGTAGAACTTCAGTCTTGATTGATGTGTTAGATCTCTGCCATCTTTGATGCATGTTTCCCAACCAGCCCCTTCATGTTTTACCCTTAGGGACACTCTTTTTGAACGCTGGCATTGCACCTGAACACTGGCATTGCCATTGCAGTGGCTCTCTCGTGGTTCAGCCAATCGTGCATTGTCCTCATTCTCCCCCTCATCTGTTTGTGACGGTTACCAACTTTTTTCGAATGTGTGTTTTTATACGATGTTTAATTGGGGAATAATCAGGATAAGTAAACTAAAAGCTTGGGACCTTTTTTTACTTTCTGTCTTCACCTATTTCTTCATCACAGTTTAATGCAGTGTAACTCTTATGTTGATCACCTTGAAATAAAAGCTGCAGTTGGTAGATTCATCTCCTGTGACCTGAGCTCTGAAGTTTCTTCTTCTGAAGAAATTGAAAGGGAGTTCTTCCTTTTTTTGTGCTCCTCCTGAATGCAGTAGAAAGGGGGAAATTTTGAGTCTATTTTGTTTTTGTTTTTTAATTAAAAAAAACAAATCTGAGGAAATGATCCTTGGCCCTTGTTAGTCATGCTGCTTTCTCCATGGGAAGAAGCCCACCTGTATTCCAAGCTTGGTGTATTGAGATTTAATACAAAGGTAGGCCCTTATCCATTATGTCTGATTTAGCTGTTCAGTAGCCTGTCCAAAACAACCTCATGGTCTTGCAGAAATATCTGTACTCTTGCTTCTGGTGGTAGTTAATTAGTCCTAATTAAAGACTAACAACATCCATCTTTGGAGTTGTGAAAATCACAAGACTCAGACCATACTCTACTCCAAGTTGAGGGGAAAAAAAAAAAGAATTAATCTTTTAGCCATAGATGGTTTAGGCATATTTGGCACTTACATATTTTTTAATTAATACACACCCAATTGAGGTCTGACACAAATTTCCAAGGAAACCGTTTTGTGTGGTTAGTATTAATAATAGTGTTCAAAGTGTAAGAATAAACTGATTGTATAATAAATGGACTCTATCGGTGTTTAATTTGTTTTATTTTTATTGATTTATTTATTTTGCTTCATGTCCTGCTTTCAGTGGTGTTTGTATAAATGGAACATACATTCCTTTAACTTGAATCTTTGGTTACTATGTGGAATGGTGGCTTCATCAGTATATTGTATCTTTCAGAGTTGCATTTAATGTTTTCGCTGATGGATAAAGTTCCTAATGGAATAGACCCTATGTTAAAAGATCTGGAAGAGCATATTGTTAGTGCTGGACTAGCAGATATGGTAGCAGCTGCTGAAACTATTACTACTGTAAGTTTATCTGCTAAAGAAAGAATTTTAATAGATATAATGTCTTTACAAAAAATAAATACTAGAATTACTTGGTATATTACATGCAAATAACAATGGATTTAAAAGAAAATAAAAACAATGGACTAGAGGTGCACTGAATATATTGGTGCCATATCGGATCGGCACCGATTTTAAAACAAAAATTAATATTATCAGCTTTTTTTGGCTGGTGTAGCTAAAATGTCACCAATAAATATAATATGCCTTCTGGCCGGGGTCCCTGGATGCCATGTGCACACATGCAGTCGTGACATGCATGCAGGAATTTAGCTGGGCAGCATGGAGAGCAGCACCCTGCAGGTAAGTCTGTGGAGAGGAAGGGATATGGCGGGGGGTGGGGAGGGGTGGCAAATTGAGACCCCACGGTGGGGGAGGGAGCGGGGCAGGGGCTAGGTGTGCTGCCCAGCCAGGGTGGTGAATGGGACCCTGGGGCCAGGTCAGGGAGCAGGACAGAGCTGTGGGTGGCTTGTCCAGGGAAGTGGGTAGAGGGGGGCAGCTTCCTGCTGCTGCATGCAACCCCAGAGAAAGCATGGGGGGGTATGTGGCGCCCCCCCCCAGATTTGTGCATGGGGTGGAGGTGGGCTGCCCACTGTGGGCCCCAGTCTCTCAACCCTGCTACCTTTTACTCTGGGAGCCATGTTCTGACTGCACGTCCCCCGCCTGTCTGGCAGTAGTTGTGGCAGCAAGTTGTCTCTTGCTGCCAGCTCATCACTTAATTTGATGAGCTTTAGTTCAACCACCCCTGCTGCCATTTTTGAGTGCCAGGATGCTGATCCCTTGGACAAGCCTCCCACAGCTCTGTCCTGCTTCCTGCCGTGGCCCTGGGGTTCCATTCATTTCCCTGTGTGGGCAGTGCCCCCAGCCCCTGCCCCTTTCCTATGGTGAGGGAGGGAGTTGGGGGCCTCTCTGATCCCCACACACCCATTTCCGCCCCCATTTCCCTTCTTCTCCACAGACTTACCTTCATGCTGTGCTCCTGTAAATGTTATCAGTATACACCTGGTGAATAATCAGCTATCGGTATTGGCTAAGAAAATATTTATCGGTGCACCCCTACAATAGATGTCCACAAGCATTAGATTCATTCATTCTCTCTCGCTCTCATTTTAAAATGAAGTCCTTCAAAGTAATTCTCTAGTTAGACCTCAGTCTTCTTGTGTATTTGCCTTTTTCAAATGTGTGTCTTTATACATAAAGCCAGCATGTAGTTTTAATCAAATATACCAGTGGTGACTGATAGTGTATGGGAAATGCCAAAGTTAGAGTTGTATTAGCAGTTTAATTGCAATGAATTGAAAAGGCTATTCTGACAGTTAATTCCATGGAAGAAACTAGTGCGCTTATGTTTAATTGGAATGATTTTTTTTTCTGGAAGTTTCTCAGACATTTCAGCACTTCTTCAAGCAAGAGAACAGGTGTGGTTCTCCCCTCTGTTCCCCTTTTACTCCCCTTCCCTCCAAGAAAACAAAAGCTTTAATTCCTTTTGCCCCCACCTTTTTTAATATTTGTAGACCTTTGAGGAAAGATGATGGACCTATTTAGGGATTGTCTCCTTGCCATTCCTTCATAGCTTTCCATTCCTCCAGTAAATGCTGACCTCAAGTGGCAGTTATGAGGACTTCTAAGCCTCTAAATGTGCATGCTGGCTTACTATTAAAGTAGGAAATTTCATACAGAAAAGCTACGCTAAAATGTGACAGTTGCAAAGCTCTTGAATCAAAAACATTGAGGATACGTATTCTTACATTACTCTCTCTGTTATAAGAATAGAGTTACATGATTTAATCCATTTTTTCTCAGTTTTTTTTTCACTTTGCTGCTTTTAACTCTAGGATTCTGAGAAATATGTAGAGCAATTGCTTACATTATTTAATCGATTTAGTAAGTTGGTTAAAGAAGCTTTTCAAGATGACCCAAGATTTCTTACTGCAAGAGATAAGGTATGTGTTAGTTGCACTTTTGTCTTTAGTTTCTGTTAGTTGTTGAAATTGGTATCAAATTTTGCCTCTGTCAATAGGCAACAAGATTCTAACCCTGATAGTAGGTTGTGGACTAAAATGCCAATTGGATTTCTAGCTAACTGGTAATCTGATTGATTTGTACTGTAGTGTAGTGCCTATAGGCTGCAATCTGTAGCGTGATACGGTTGACCAGTGCATGAGATGACACTTTGTGCTTGGACGTTTACAGTCTACTGTCTGATCCAGCAACGTGCATGTCTTCAGTATTAGGCATGTGCCACAGGGTACCCTTCAGGAGGGTACTTGCTCAGGACCAATGTGGCTTTGTCTGGTCTCTGAAAGTACCCCTTGAAGTCAACCTAGGCTTGGCTTCTAGAGCAAGAGGGGAGCCTGAGCTTCTTCCCACGCTGAGCCCCTGAACTTCTAGTCCTTCACCCTCCCTGATTCTTTATGGCCCTGACTTAAGGAGCTACTATCCAGTTGCACTCCTGAGGGGGACTTCACCTTCTCTTGGGGTATCCCAGTGTAACCCACAGTTCCCCAAGCAGCACAGCAGTCTCATCATCAGTAACGACATTTATTGGCGCAAAGCCACTGAACCAGAGGTTCTCAGTCCCCTCCAAAGGGGTTAAGCAGTCTCTTCATCTCCATCTCTATTCTAGCCCACACAGCCCTGAGTACCCCCAAAGATACTCAACTGTTCCCTTTCCAGTCTCCAGCTCCCCCAAGCTTCTCCACTTCTCTCTGTTCTCTCAGTCCCTAGACCCAGGAGCTGCTGATGAGCAGCTTCACTCCCAGTCTGCTTTCCCATTGTCATGTATATCTCCTCTGGACCCCTCCTGGGTGTTGGGCAACTCACCTTTGTTGATATGTCAACAAAGTCCTTCAAGCCTTGCTGCTGCTAAAGGTCTGTCTGGTCTGCATGTAGCCAGCCCTGGCACTTAACCCCTCCTTCTCTGTGCACAGGCTAAGGAGGTAAACTGAATCATACAATGTAATAACGTTGTGAACACAGTTAACCCAGAAATATCTTAGTAAAACCTGTAACTGATCACAGCATGTAATTGTGAATAGTCCCATGACTTCAAGGGGACAGCTCGTCTGCTTAGTTAGGCATATAGTGAAGTTGGGCTTATTAAGGGAACTATATAAGTAATATATACTAGGCCTGTGTGAAGTGGCAAGTATTCACTTTTGATTTGGATTCGGCCCATTCGGAGGGACAGTGATTCAATTTGGAGATTCGAATCACTGTCCTGATTTGATCTGGCCGAATCGGATCTGAAGATTTGGTGCTACTTGGAGTTTCGGCCATAGACTAAACAGGCAGCAGTCCTTGCCGTGCTGGACACAGTTACCTTCAGCTGGTAAGTCTGTTGAGGTTTGGGGAGGGAAAAGGTGTGGGGGAGGAACAAACTGCCCAGCCTGGGCAGGGGGGTTTGAGAGGTGCGGAGTGTGGGCGTGGCAGTGCCCAGAGTGGGGGGCTATGCCCTGCTGCCACTTCTGGGGGGGGGGCAGGATGTGGGTGCGATTTGCTCTGAGTGGAAGGGAGCAAACACCAGCAGGGCACAGCCCGCCTCCTCCGCCCTGGCTGGGAAGTGGTGGCAGGGCCTGGCCCCTCATGCTGGCTGGCAAGCAGCTGCAGCAATGCCCACCGCCTCCCAAGGCTGCCCCCACCCCCGGGCTGTGCTGGTTGGGCAAGTGTTGGCAGGGCAGAACCCCTGCTTCTAGTGCTGATGCAGGCGCAGCAGCGCTGGGAGTGGGGGCTATGGCCTGCTGCTGCTTGCCTGGGTGGGGGGAGGAGGGGGCACAATGCAGGTGCAGCTTGCTCCAGGAGGAAGGAGGCAAGTGGCAGTAGGGCATAGCCCCCACTTGCATCGCTGCAGTGCCCACATCAGTGCTGGGAGTGGGGGTTCTGCCCTGCTGTTGCTTGCCTAGCTGGGGCCGGGGGGACTGGCGCTGCTGCCGCTTGCCCAGCTGCTGCGGGGCGGGGGGGCGTGGGATGCAGGCGCAGCAGTGCTGGGAGCAGGGGTTATGCCTTGCTGCCACACCCGCATCCCACCCACCCCCCTCCCCAGCTGGGCAATCAGCATCAGGGCGTAGCCCCCACTCTGAGTGCTGCTGTGTCCTGTGCCCCCACCCCAGCTGGGCAGCTTCTCCTAGTCCCAGCTCCAGTCCCTCCCTCTGCCCACCCCAACAGACTTACCGGCTGAAAGCAGCTGTGTCCAGTGTGGTGAGGACCTGCTGCCTGTTTAGTCTATGGCCGAATCTTTTCTGAATTGATTCGGAGGCTTCCAGTTCAGTTCGGAGCTTTTAATTGGTCTCCTGATTCGATTCGGATTCACAGATTTGGTTGCTGAATCTCCTCGGAATTGAAACGGCTACCAAAGCTTCACACAGTTCTGATATACGCTATCTTAAAAATATATTAAATTATTCATATCTTGTTTCTTATGTTATGAAGAGAAGTTGAATTAGTGCCTATTTGTTTGTTTTTTAGGCATATAAGGCAGTTGTGAATGATGCTACAATATTTAAACTTGAATTGCCATTGAAGCAGAAAGGGTAAGCTGTTTAAATATTAATGTGTATTGGGCGCCTTAAATATTGAAATATTTAATGTTTTAGGACATTTTCAGATTTGTATTTATTTATTTTAAGCATACTCCTGGTAACACATCATATCTTATTTAGAAGTTCTTTGGGATTCTTGCATTGAAAGTGTTGTGGAAAGGAGTGAAAAGAAAAAAAAAAAGTAGGCAGATGGGAGCTTCGCACTTAGATTTGTTTAAAAGCTTGGAAGGAAGGTTATATATGCTGAACAAAGTTGTTTACCAGTAGAAACCCATTAATGCCAAGCACTTTCATTCCACTAAGTTAATTTATAGAAGTAAAAGTAGTAGTTACTGTTTTTATTCTCCGTCACTGGATTGGGCATAAAGGAAGGCTAAGTTGTCAGAGTTTCTGAACAGTTGGTATGTGGATTTTTTCTTTTACTTGCTATACGTTTGTTATTTTCAGTCAAAAATGATGAGTGGAGGAAGTGAAGATGAAAGAAGACACGAAGAATAAATTATAGTTCTTAATCACAGGAGTTTTTATATGCCTTATGAGCGGACTGAATTTTCAACATCCAGAGAGTGGTTTCAAGCTGCTCCTTGTTGGAGAGAACTAGTCTCAGAGAAATCATAAAATTAAGTCTAAAATGACCTAGTGTCAGTCAGAATACTGTCTGTTCTTCAGGTAGAAATTTCAAAGGCAGAAAGAGAATACCTATGTCCAAAGTGACCTTTGGGAATAAAGTTTTCAAACCTTAGAATAGCACAACTGGACAAATTGGAGATTTTTTCAAGGAGTCTTATTTGGAAAAATCAAGTTCTGCAGCCAAAAGGTTGGGTGCAGAGTGCATTCTATTTTACAGAGCAGTAACCTGGTATGTACAAATCACTGGTACTTTATGGCAAACTAGATCTGAATTCTTTGACCACTTCAGCTAATCTAGAGGTATCCAGGCCATGGGTTGCTAGACCGACGCCACGTGCTGTTCCTGGACCTTGCATGCAGTGTGGGCTGAATTTGGTGCCATGCATGCTGCAGGCAGCAGTGGGGGCCAGCATGGGGTGCTGCATGCAGCCTTTGCAGTGCCAGGTCCAGCCCACACACCACAGGCAGCACATGCTCTCTGCCAGCCCTGTGTGGGCATGTGCAGTGAGCTCCAAGGCCAGCACGTGCTGCACACAACTTGGGCTGGGCCGGCTGCAAGCCCTACATGTCGCATGGGGGACTATTACTGGGTGCATGCTGCGTGCAGTTTCTTGCTGGACTGGCTTTGTACCCTGGCTCCAGAGCTGGTCTAGATTGGGGCACGCTGGAGCCAGCATGCAGGGCTGGTCCAGCTGGTCACTGCATGAATCGCTGTATTGGCCCCTTGTGATATGCATAGTTCATGTGTCCAGTCCAGCCCCATTCAGTGTGTGAAGAATGTACTGGCCCCAGGGCTTGCTGTGCATGTGGCTCCTGAGGCTGGTACAGGGTGTGTGCTGCCTGTGGCATGTAGGAGTGGACCCGGTGCTGCACACAACACAGAGAATGCAGGACTCGGGCGCATGTAGTGCTCTGGAACAACCACCTGGTGCTGCGCACGGAGTTAGTCCCAGTCCAGCCCAGCCCACAGACTGACCAAGAGATGCTTATCCAACCCATGGGACCAAATTAGTATGACTCCCCAGTGCTAATCTATAATAAAGTGTTTGATGGTTATACTGGTATATCTGTCTTCAGGTTATTGTGGCTAGATGCTGTATTTTTCTGTTGGTTTTCATTTGTAACATGGAAACATAGGCAGCCACTGAATTACAACTTGCTCAGGTGTTCAGCTTTGCCTTTTTTTATGGCAGATGATTCTTAGTGGTTCATGTGAACACCCCTTATTTGCAGCATTCAGTTGATTGACTCTGGCCTTGAACTCTGAGGTTGAGTGATTATCTTCACTTTTAAAAAAAATTAATATTTAGAGGCAGAAGATATGCCAATAGAATCCTAAAATACAGCTGTTGACTATAGTATGTAATGCATGGTGTTAATTTTTTTTCCTCCATGAAAGTCCAAGTTAGAAAAGAAAGAGAAGGTGGGGAAGTGAAGATTACAGTGCAGTTTGTATTATTGTTGGATTCCCTTGACAAAGGCATGGATCTCCGTTTTTGCCCTGCTTAGTGTCCCCTGTGTACGCTAAGGCACTGTGGAAAATGATTCCTTTAGGTTCCTATTAATATTCCAGTTTCCTAGCAATTTCCAACCAACAAGTTCCTGGGCCTTTCCTGGAATTAAAAACAGCCTTTCCCCCCTACATTAAATTTTCTATCTTCCCATTCTCTACCATTTGAAGGGCTAATGAAGATCCTAGCTCAAAGACTTTCGTTTTGTTTGTTTTGTTTCTGAATTGTAGAAAAGGTGATGATAGTTGTGTCTTCCCCTCCTTGTTTGGCATCTTTCCATTTTATTTATTCCATAAACTCCTCTCAGTGTTCTACCTGTTGGTCTCTGCTTCACTTAAAGTTAGGTTATTATCTTTGGCTAGGACTTGGTCACAAACCAGGCAAGATAATGTCACTTCTGATAGGTGTTTGGATGCTCCCAGAATCCTAAAACTTCCTGTTTTTTGTGATTTGTACTGGTCGGAAAATCTTTGATACCATTGCAAATCCGAGGTTTCTACAATTACCATAGCCAAAGGCTTTTCTCTTCCTGTTTCTAAGGCCTTAAAAAAAAAAAAAAAAAAGTAGCCCTTACCTAGAAGCTGTTTTATGAGTCAAAAAGGATGAGTTTTCTAAAGAGTTCTGTAAAGCTGCCACCTTATGTTCTTTGTATACCTTTTGTATACCTGTTTTAATAGTATACCCTCTGCTGATTTTTTTCGGTTTATCTGTTTTCAAGCCTGTTATTTCTGGACTACCATTCAAGGATCAATCTTGCTCTCAATATTGCTTTTATGCACCTATCTGGCAGTAATCGCTGTCTTTCCAACTTCCATGAGATGCTGTGTTCAGTCCACTGCCTGCACTGGTGGCCAGACACCTGAATTGGCTATGTTGTTTTGGAACTTCCTTTGTCCTGTGAAACCCGCTTATGAAAATTATTGTTTGAAATGAATCTTGGACAATTCTGAAATTACAAACAAAAGAATAGTTGGAGTGACCCACGATGGAGGTGTCTGAGAATAGTTGGTTGCCTTCTGTAATTGGAATGAATGAGAGGAATAAGATAGAATTAATCTGTTTTGCAATGGTTAAACTGACATTTGAACAAATTTACCAGATAAAGGTACTTTCCTCAGGAATCTTCTTGTCACTGGTATGGTGACTCTGACATAACTATTTTTTTTACAAAGCTTTTTCATTTCTTATTGCATTTAGGGTTGGATTGAAAACACAGCCTGAGTCCAAATGCCCTGAGCTGCTTGCTAATTACTGTGATATGTTGCTAAGAAAAACACCACTAAGCAAAAAACTAACCTCTGAAGAAATTGAAGCAAAGCTTAAAGAAGTGGTATGTCCATGCTCACTGTCTGTTACCTAAGGAACCATTTTGGTATCAGCTGACCTGCATCTACTGTAACAGTGTTTTTGAAGATGAGGTTTTGAAGAAACTGCCTATGAAGTGGATAACTGTTGTAGTAATAATTGTTGCTTAACTTGGAATGGTCATAGAATATGCATTATTGAGCTTTCATGGGTCCAAATTGTGTCACATGTTAGTAATGTTGATTTTAATATGCAAGTTTGCAATTAATATATTTGTATACTGTAATAAATGTTATAGGTCTTGTCTACAGGACAGGCCTTTTGTGACCAAATAACTGCCACTGTAGGGAAGCTATGCATCCCTTGCCAACTTTTGTTAGCGCTGTGCAGCAGGTACACTGCACCCTGGAAGGCACCAGGAGCAATGGCTTCAGACAGAGATCCCAGGCACTTCTGCCTTCACTTGTGGTTCTCCGTGGCGGCAGAAACTGCCTGTCACTTCAGGTTTGGCTTTCCTTTGTCAGCAGAAAGTAGGAGTCCTGCAGTCACGGAAGAGCTGTAAGTGTGGACATGGTCACCAGAGGGCTATCAGCAAAGCTTACTGTGTAGATCAGGCTATATGTAATGAAATGCATACCTATCAAGAAAATGGAACCATGACAGGAGATGTTCCATGGGGCAGCTTGTTCGTCAGCAACTGCAGTAGTTCCATAGCTAGTGACTATCTCCAGCAGTGCTCCTCCTGAAGAAAATCAAGAGTTCCTGTGTGCTGGTTTCATTTGACATTGATATAAAACCAGTGTTGAAAGAAAGTGGTTTGACTTGGTATGGAAAAATATATTAAAATCTATTACTTTTTTAACAGCTTTTGGTACTTAAATATGTACAGAATAAAGATGTTTTTATGCGATACCACAAAGCTCACTTAACAAGACGTCTAATATTGGATATATCGGCTGATAGCGAAATTGAAGAGAACATGGTGGAATGGTTGAGAGTAAGTGTCGTACCTTGATTTTTAGCTCTTGGTGCTCATACTTTTAGTTTGTATTTATGAATGTAAACCTTCTTCTTATTTACACGAGTTTCTACCTTAAATCGCAGTCCATTTATGGATCATTGTCTCCTCTTTCTCAATACTTTTCAGGTTTAGAATAGATTAGTTCCTCCCTCCTCATCACCAATTCTCTGAAGAATTAAATAGCTGTAGGCCTAGATCTTCAAGGTGTGCACCATGTGAAAGCCATCACGTATTTGCACAAAGTGTCTCAAACTTGCTTAAGCATGTAGGCATCCATGACGTTTGGGAGCACTCTCCTGGAAGCTGCTTGCTGATTTTTTGTTCTTCTAAACTTAAGTTCCTTTGTATTTTGGATCCCTTCAGTCTTCCAATGTTGCACGTGCATTCAAGAGTCAACATAAAAAGAAATTCAACTGTTAACACTGCAGAGGTGATGTACTTGTGATAGCTAGATGTTAGGTAGCTATCACAAGTACATCACCTCTGCAGTGTTAACAGTTGAATTTCTTTTTATGTTGACCCTTGAATGCACGTGCAACATTGGAAGACTGAAGGGATCCAAAATACAAAGGAACTTAAGTTTAGAAGAACAAAAAATCAGCAAGCAGCTTCCAGGAGAGTGCTCCCAAACGTCATGGATGCCTACATGCTTAAGCAAGTTTGAGACACTTTGTGCAAATACGTGATGGCTTTCACATGGTGCACACCTTGAAGATCTAGGCCTACAGCTATTTAATTCTTCAGAGAATTGGTGATGAGGAGGGAGGAACTAATCTATTCTAAACCTGAAAAGTATTGAGGTGCTCCCAAACGTCTTGGATGCCTACATGCTTAAGCAAGTTTGAGACACTTTGTGCAAATACGTGATGGCTTTCACATGGTGCACACCTAACATACTTGAAGATCTAGGCCTACAGCTATTTAATTATCTAGAGAATTAAATGAGGAGGGAGGAACTAAATAATCTGTTCTAAACCTGAAAAGTATTGAGATAAGAGGAAATAGTATATTATCCAATTATTATAATTGGATATTATATTATAATATCTAAATTATTACATGAAAGTGTGTGTGTATCCAAAAAGTTATTTTGTCATAACGTTGTAACTTGCTATTACAAATTGCTATAATCTGTGTATTTTCATAAAGCCGTTTTAAAACAATTTGCTATTCTAAAGGCAGATGTCTGGAGGGGGGGGGGGGGGGGAAGGGTCAAAGGTCAACCCAAGTACAACAGCCCATTGGGACTAATATAGCAAAGGCTTGCTAGTCAGTAGCATAATAAGAAATTATGTTGCTATCATTACATGTACCCATCTGATTTCCCCAGCCTACTGACCCCCATTTACAGCTGAGTTTGGTAAGGGAAGCTTTCGGTATGAGTTTGGAGGAAAGCTAAAACTGGCATATCAGGAGCTTTAACTGCTCTGCCTCCATGTGCCTAAAGACTGATGCGTGTAGTAATTTGGTTTCTGAATTGTGCTGTGTCTTGGTTTAATTTGTTATCTGTTTATACAGGAAGTGGGTATGCCAGCAGACTATGTAAACAAATTGGCTAGGATGTTCCAGGATATTAAAGTATCGGAAGACTTGAACCAGGCCTTCAAAGAGATGCACAAAAATAATAAATTAGCCCTACCAGGTATTTTTCTCAAATGTTTTGATGTCTCTCTATTCGTGTGTGTGTTTTAAAAAATGGTTCAGTTGAAACTTAAGGTATTGCTATAATTTTTATTCTCCCGTTTGAAGACTCCCTAGCTGTCAGGCCTGGATTCTCCAAGGTATTTAAGCATCATTTCACTCACTAGTTTAGTTCCCAACTACTTCTTGGAATCCTGAGCCCAGATTCTCTTTACAGATCATGGGGAGAATTAAATACCTAAGGAAGCGATCAGAAGAACCAGCAGATCTGAGTGGAAAGATACCTAAGGATGCCAAGAGTGAAATGCAGAGGAAAGGAGAGTGGCTTAGTTTCCCAAGTTTTAGACCTGATGTGCCTGGCCAGACATAAGCACCTCCTTCCATTTAGGGACCTTGGCTGCAGACCACCTGTTATTGTTAGAATGTAAGCAAGGCCATTGGCTGAAGTCAGTGATTCTCAACCAAAGTGGTGCATCACCCTGGCGTGCCTTGAGATCCTTCCTTTCCAGGGTGCATCAAGGTGCCATGTAATGTTGGTGCTGTTAGGCGCGCAAACATGATTCACAAGATAAACCCAGAGATTTCAATCATAGTGTGAGAAACATTCTGATCTGTTGTCTTTCTGAGTTCTTTTCAACAGAAAAACTGCTGTTATTACTGTTTCTTAGTAAAAAAAGGGAAAACTAGAAGCTAGCATTTTCCAAGGGGTGCTTCGAGTCTAAAAAGGTTGAGAACCTCTGGTTTAGGTAGAGTTTTGTTTTTCCCTTTTTTTCCCCCACTATGAAAATACTGATGGCACAGTTAGTGAATGTATTGATTGAAGAAGGTCTGTCAGTGAGACTATAATCAGTTCTTAAGTAAGAATTGTGGGAGAATGAGAAAAAGGCATGTAGTCTTTTTATAGTGTTAAAAATTCTCCAAATATCTTTAAATTCATTTTAATCTAGGAATGTTATCGTTCCACCCTCTGTATATAACTTTTCCCCTTGCAGATCTATCCAGTGGTGCTAACGCATAATTTAACCCCTCAGTTATCATTAGAGTTCCTTTAGTATCTTTCATGACTTGGAAAAATTTAACCTCTACAAATTTTAGTAAATTTTCAGTAGGAGCTTAAATGGTTACAAGACTGCCTATGTATTCCTCCGTCAGACATCTAACCATGAGAAATCTGCCTCGTTTGTCTTCGTAAACTTCCTCTACTTTTAACTGCTACTCTTTGTTAATTGTAATCATCACTCCTCTGTTGGAGCACAAGGAGAAGAAATAGTTATCAATCCATTTTGCTTTAAACCTATTAGTATCTTTTTCTAAAAGGTGCGTCTTGTATAATGCATATATCTACATCTTGATCTCTTAGCCAATTTGGTATTCTTTTTATTTGAGGGGTATTCATGCCTTTTAATAGAGTGAGAGAGAGAGAGAACCGTTAGTCTAGACATAGTATTATTTTACTATATCATCCTTTAACTTTCACCATTGCTGCCTTTTTTACTCCATGCCACCATTGTCACTCGTTAGGATGTTTTGTGACGGAGATATCCATTCCTTTATCAGAGTATTTAAGAAGGATTGTCACCACAGTGTATTCCAGTGGGGCTCAAGGTTTTGACCCCATGAGCCAGATGAATGGTATGGGGTTGGTCCACGGGCTGGATCATGCCCTGGGGCCATCCCTGCCCAGCCCCACACACTGGGATTGTGTCTCATGCTGTCCTGTGTGCATGTCCAGCGGGGCTCCCCACAAATATGTGGGCCAGATGACACTGTCAGGGGCCGTATCTGGCCCACAGGCCAGCGGCTGAGCAGCTCTGTTGTATTCCATTAAACTTAACATACAAGAAATGCTTTTCTTATTTTCTCTCTATCTCTGTACCTCCCCCTGATTTAGCCATAATTTGCAAAATATTTCCCACCATACCCAAGTGACTTTTTTATGTAGATTTGTCATATTCTAGGTTTAACATTGGATCCCACAAACAATAGCCTGAGATGCATTTAATTCTGGGTAACGCCTTTACCTTTGCTTCTCTGCCCCCCTGTCCTTGCAGTTCTCACTATAAGGCTTGGTTGATTTTTTTTTTTTTTTTTTTTTTCTTTTAAACAGCCAGGATTTTACCTACAAGTATGATTTATATCATTCCACACCCATTTCTTCAAGTTTACTTTCAACATCTATTTCAGTTTTAATGACGGGGGGCTTCTGTTGTCTTTCAGACTCTCTTGGGTAGGAATAAAAGTTCTGGATGTTTTCTTACAAAAGCCTCTAGGTCTTGTTTTTATCACTGAAAAAACCTACATCTTCTTTGAAATAAGAGTCAGCCTTGCAGGGTACCAAACAGAGCAATGATTCTCAAACTATGAGGTGGGCCTTCCTGGGGAGGTGCAGCATCATGTCAAGTGAGCCATGAGTCTTTTTGTTAGGAGAGGTTGGATGAGTTGGGGAAAAAAAAAGTTATATATTTTAAATGTATTATATTTTAAAATAACTAAAAAAATAAAATAACACAAAAAGCTTGTATTTACTTATGTTGCTTAGCAACTGTGACATCAGATGTATGTTGCATTGTTTTTTGTAAGTAAACTTACAAACCTCAGCAACATGCTTAGTGAGAAACAGCTTAAATGAGAAATGGATTGTTTTGTGACGAAGGGAGAAAAGCATACAGCCCAGGCCAGGAGTACAGCAGCAGACATTCCAGCAAAATGTAAAGGTTGAAAATATGATGAAGTTTATTTAAAGCTTGGTTTTGCATGGAGCAGGTCCAGCAATGCACTGAGGCCTCAGTGTGTTGTATGTGCCATTGTACTGGCAAATGACAGTATGCGGCCCTGCAAGCTATGCTGGAATCTTGAAACAAGACACCCTACCTTAATATCTAAACCCATAGATTTTTTTTTTCAGAGAAAGCTCAATGAGTTAACAGGCCAAAAAATTGTTGAAGTGTACAGCACTGTTAACATGAAGGCTACTGAGGCTTCTACAGTGTGGCTTTGTGCATTGCCAAAGTAGGCAAGGCTCACAGCATAGGTGAGAAATTACTACTTCCAGCTGCAAAGGATATGTGCTCAGTGATGATAGGACAGAATGCAGCATTGCAGCTAGATGTGATCCCACTTTTAAATGACAGTTTCATGCCATATTGTGGAGCAGCTCTTAGCAAGTGTTCATCAGAGCCCAAATTATTCCATTCAGATAGATGAGTCTACTGATGTATCAAATGCTGCACAGCTACTGGTGTATATTTGTTTTGCTACAGCAACAGAATTAAAGGAGGAATTAGTTTTGCTGCACACGAGCAACTGGTGAAGAGTCACTCCCCACACGAGCAACTGGTGAAGAGTTTTTTAAACTGTTAAATACTTTTGTCCAAGACAAACCTTGATTGGGGATGTTGTTTTGGGATTTGCAGCGATGGAGCATGGTCTATGACAGGACAGCATAGCAGGCTTGTGACTAAGAAGTGGCCCCCGCAGCAACCTGAAATCATTGTATGATCAACAGACAGGCACTGGCTGCTAAGAAGATGCCAGAGGAGCTCAGCAGTGTATTTTCAGTTGCAGTAAAAACTGTAACCTTTATAAAGTTATGCCTGGTTAATTCAAGAGTTTTTAGCATTTTATGCGAAGAGATGGGGGCAAGCTTCACACACAGGTGTTGCTACGTGCAGAAGTCCATTGGCTGTCCAAGGACTTGTGCAAGGTACTGACAAGAATATGTGAACTACGTGATGAAGTCTGTATTTTTCTTGTTCATGGTAACTCCCCACTTCTACAGTATTTCAGTGACACTTGTTAGGTATCTTTGTCATATCTGGCTGACATATTCAAGCAACTGAATTCTCTGAATGTGTCACTTCAGGGAGAAGATGCAAAATGTGTTTGTTGCTATTGATCAGATAGCAGGATTCATTAACAAACTTGAACTGTGGTCTTCACATGTGCAGCAGGGATCTGTTTGCATATTTTCAACACTGGAGGACATTGTGCAACAGTGTGGTGATATGTCAGTTGACAGTATCCAGGACATGGTTGTTCATCACTAAGGGGGTCTGCAAGAGCAGTTTGTGAATACTTTCTTGACGTGGGCTAAACCAAATGTAAATAGTGGATCAGGAACCCATTCACCTTTAAGTCAATCCCCACAGATGTGCTGTCCCCAAAAGAAGAGGAAAGCCTTATCAACTTGTCAAGCGACCAGGAACTGTAGCACAATTTTTTTACAAATGCCAGCTGGTTATCAATAAGATCTGAGTTTCCTGAGTTAACACTATTAAAGTGCTCATTGCTTTTTCTTCCATCTACCTATGCGAGTCAGGCTTCTCGGCATTAACTGCAATCAAAACGAAGTGTAGGTCCCAGCTTTCTGTCAAAGATGACTTGTGTCTCTTCCTTTCTACATTGCAACCCTGCATTGCACTACTTTATGAAGTGAGGAAACAAACACACCCCTCCCATTGCTAAAGTAGGACTGATGGATTTCATACAGAATTAAACGTTTAAGGAAAAATGATACCAAACAACGATAGGTTAAGTGAAACTTTAACTTAACTGCTTCCATTTATATTGCCCTTGAACTTAAAATGAATACTTTTGAAACTCAAACTAATCTTTTACTAATCAAATCCCATCAACTTTTTTATTCATTTTTGGAGAATATAGGCCTACTATTTTCAATTTGTTGCTTTGTTTTAGCAAACTATGGGGAGGTGCATTTTTTTTCATAGTTAAGTGAGGCTAACTGTGACAAAGTTTGAGAACTCCTGAAATGGACTTAAAAGCCTCTAGCTTAGTCAGGTTCTCTCTGGGAAGATTCCACTCTCCTTTTTAAGTGTTCCTACACCTTCAGTTAAAAAATCGTATTTTTCCTCTCAACTTCTGTGTTTAATTTTCTGACTTCTCTTAATTTCTTTTTGTTGGTATTTGAAAAAAAATTGCTATGATGGCCCTGGGAAGGTCACTTTCTGAAGGTTGTAGCCTTACAACCTGGTGTACATGCCTCTGGGGGGCTGGATGAGGGAAAACAATTTCAGTTAAATCTATGATTTGCTGTATAAATTTTACACAGTTCTTTTCTTTTCCTCAACCCCTTCCTTGAACCCCAAGAAGCGCAGCTTAGCCCTCCAGCTCCTATTTCTGAGAGGGCTGAAGATCTAGAAAGGAGTTGCACTTTCTTTTTCATTAGAGGTGGTTCTCTTCTCTACAACATGGTGATCTTACAGGTCAGAGATTCTGGCTTCTGTGTTCTGGACTGCAGGGCATTAGCCTTATCCTTATTTTCATCAACAGGTAACTTCAGCCAGAGTCTTTATTTTGGCCAGTTTTAAGCATTTTTTAATTCCTTTTTCATTTGTAATAGAATGATCTCACAGCCAGCCCCTCCCTCTTCTTCCAGACTTGGCTTCATTTTGTTTTCAGTAGGGGGAGAACGGCTCTGTTCTTCAGCAGGCCTTGTGGAGGTGGAACACCAACAGAAGTCCTTTCAAAACATTTTTGGACACACTTTGACTTTATGACTGCTTATCTTTGATCTAAAACAGTGGTGTGAGGGAACGTAATAGTTTAATGCTGTTAATTTTGGTATTTTAAGTTGGGTTTGGAAGAACACAGAGGAATCACATGTTTCTCAAGTATGCTCAGTAGCATCCCCAGGTAGATGCTTTTTAATGGAGAGAAGTGTGTGTATGTAGCCTTTACATGGGGGTTAATTGCGGAGTAAAAACTTTAACCCAAGTCCATCACACAGGTTCTCCTAACCACCATGGTACCACGTGCGCTTCCTTCTGCATTTGGCCATCTCCTTTGTGGATGCTATGCTGCCCCTCTACCTCTTGGTATGCATCTGTGCTCCTCTGTAGGGTCTGATGGCACGCTCAGAGCATGAGTACAAGATTGGGTCCCACTCAGGAGGCAGGTGTTCAGCTGCTTACTTTTGAGACTTCCACTTTATGGGCCTTGAGAGCTTTTGACTTGAGGTAGGTAGGTGCCTCTAGCTGTGGAATGGCATCAGCACTTACGCAGCTTTGTGAATGCTAGCCAACATAAATACAGGTGTCTGTGGGGTTAGATGAAAGATGAGCAGGAGTATTGAAAACTAGAGGCATCTAAACAAAACTTGTCTGCCATTCTGTCATCTTAGACTCTAATGCCTTTTGATGATTTGGTCCTCACTGGCTTAAAAGTTTCCGATTTTTGAAAAGTTAATCAGAGTGTACCTTTTGTATTTAATCCTAACGTATCTTTAGATTCATGTATTTTAACACTGTCTTTATAGCTGATTCTGTGAATATTAAAATTTTAAATGCTGGTGCCTGGTCTCGAAGTTCTGAAAAAGTGTTTGTGTCGCTGCCTACGGAATTGGAAGATCTTATCCCCGAGGTAGAAGAGTTCTACAAAAAGAATCATAGTGGCAGAAAACTGCACTGGCACCATCTCATGTCCAATGGAATTGTAAGTATATGAACTTTACTGTGTTCATTTTTATTGCCTAAACTTCATTATTTGTCCACAGTAATGAAAAAAAAGCTTGTGTTCAAAACGTTTGTGTTCATCAATTCCTTTGATCTACAGATAACGTTTAAGAATGAGGTTGGCCAGTATGACTTGGAGGTAACGACATTTCAGCTGGCTGTGCTTTTTGCATGGAACCAAAGACCCCGTGAGAAGATCAGCTTTGAAAACCTTAAACTGGCAACTGAGCTCCCTGATGCAGAACTTAGGAGGACTTTATGGGTATTTCCCTTTCAGTTGAAACAGATTGCTACTTGATTTTAATTTACGCGCACGCACACACACTTCATTTGAATATTTTTAAAGTACTAACTCTCTGAAACTGAAGAGTGAAGACTTTTTTTCAACTAGTTGTCCAGTGATTCTGGTGCTTCCTTTGTATAGCCTTGACCTGAAGGAACACCTTCCTGCCAGAACTGCCAAACTTAACTTCTGAAGGCAGTTAGGTCTTTCTGGCCAGGTGTGGCCTACAGGACCAAATCATGATAATGTCTTTCAATGGGATTGGTCAGATTCTAGGAACTCAGAGGTATCTGCTTAAGTGTATTTTATATAAAAGTAAGTTAATTTTAGGGGGTAAACTTGTGTAATCCAATTAAATCAACAAAAATGGAAGAATAAATTATACATGAATCATGTAACTAATAGAACTAAACTTATGTAGCAGTGAGTTCATGTACTTAACTCTGTGGAATGCCCTTGTTTATATCAACTTGTTTTCCACATTTGTCTTTCAGAAACAAGGTACCATATATCAGTGTGCATTAATATTGTTGACCTGTATTAATTGATTCTTGCTGTCAGCATACCTGATATTTTTATGAAGTAAGATTACATAATTCCTGCACAAATTAGTTTATAATATAGCTAATGGTTGCACGTGTTGTTCAGAATGATTGGTGCTGTGTCACTAGCCTGATATTTTTTATTTTCATGGGCTTTTTGCTTTTTTTTTCTTTTCTCTATAGTCTCTTGTAGCATTTCCAAAGCTGAAACGTCAGGTTTTATTGTATGAACCTCAAGTCAATTCACCCAAAGACTTTACAGAAGGAACCCTCTTCTCAGTCAACCAGGAATTCAGTTTAATGTAAGATATATTAAAATTAACATACCATGTGCAGAACCTTATTACTAAAAGAGTTTATTTTAAACTAATTTCTTAATTGTGTAGTGATGAGATGCAGAATTTGAGTTTCTGCTAACTTGTGGTTATTTGTAGGACTTCAAACAGCACCAATGTGCTAAGCAAATTCCATTCTACTTGGCTATGTTTCTTCAGTTGTTACAGAAGCAAGTATCTATATCTATTTATTCACTTCCTCTTCTAAATAGTTTAATGCTTCTGTGCACTGTTAAAATCTGGCTTGCTGCAGTATTCTCTTTCGAGAAGATGGCAATATTTCAGTGATGAATGCAGAGATTCAGTACTATTGCTTTGAGATCCCTAAGGCTGAATAAAGATACAAAAATAGGACCTCTCTAACATGTTTAAAAATTCACTGAGCAAAATTGTTTAGAAGATTTTTTTACCTAATTTTATTATTAATAACTATGAGTAGGACTTGTTGCTTGCCATGGAGGTCACCAGATTCTGAACTTCATTCTCACTGGCTTTTTTGGCCTCTGGGAGTGGGAGAAGGGAGCACAGGGAGGGGAGGAAAGAGATGGCGACAGTTGTTTGCATTTTCCCACTCAGTTGCCTATAGCAGGTTACAGATGCCTCTGTTTGGAGTGCGCTGTTAATTTATGGAACTTATTGCCGCAGGAGGTTATAGAGGCACATAGCATATCCAAGTTCACAGAGGGACTAGACATACTCATGGATGATGAAACAAAACAGTCACACAGGTATCTTCTGACATCCCTTAACCCATGATGGATGACAGGGAGGTTATAAACAGGACAGATCATTCTGGTTGCGCCCTGTTCATACGTTCTTTCTCTTAGGGCATTGCGGGGGTGCAAACTATTTTGCAGACATGCCACAAATTAGCGTTGCACCCTCCCTGAGTGCCACTCCAATTCCCAAACCTAATCTTATGTGCCGCTCTGCTTTCCGCTCCCTGCCTGATCTGTGATATGCTACACACAGGCTGCCTGTGTCACTTGTGGCACACGTGTCATTTGTTACCTACCTACCATCTTCTGTTGCCAGCATCAGAAACAGGATGTTGGGCTAGATTTGAGCCATTGGTCTGACCTAATATGGCAGTTGTTTTATGCGAAGCAATGCCAGGGCAATATAGCACAGGAGGCAATACAAGATGACTTTTCAGGTGAGATTTCAAAGACTTCAGAATTAGGATTATTTGTCATCATAACCTCTAATCTTTTTTTCACATGTTGCTCATAACCCACCAGCTTCTATACTGAACAGGGGGCCATCTCAATTCCCTCATCTTGCTTGTATAAAATGCCTACTCGGATCCTAGGTGGTTTCATCAGCTGATGCACATAATTAAGCAGCTGTCAGTCTTACTGCTGCCAGACTCTTGCACCTGTCAGTGTATGAGGAGTGACCTTACTAAGATAATGTTGCTTATCAGTAGGTTTTAATATGAATTCTTTAATGTGAAATGAATGCTTTTTTGGCTTATTTTCATGTACAATGATTCTTTCAGAAAAAATGCTAAAGTTCAGAAAAGGGGTAAGATAAACTTGATTGGTCGATTGCAACTCACTACAGAGAGAATGCGAGAAGAGGAAAATGAAGGAATAGTCCAGCTAAGAATATTACGAACCCAGGCAAGTGGATTTTGACAGAACAGTGTAAATCTGCTCCAGTTCCTTCGTAATGTCCTCGTACATCATTTCCATCTTGGCAGTTTTCCAGACTTGGGGGATATGACACCAAAATAGCTCGTATCCCATTTGTGGGGTCATGTGAATTTCTGGTGCAGAAATTCAATTATAGAACTGTGGCTTGCACCAGGAGTGGGGTTGCAAATGACAGAAATGAGGGGAGGGCAGTGGTGTGATCTGTACAGAGATTGGGAATCACTGCTTTTGAAATGCTTCTCAAACAGTGTGTTTTGAAGCTCATCCTCCTGAACACCCCTCACACCCTCATTGTGATACGATACTCCAAAAAATATTTTGTACTGCATAACTCAAAAGAAACCAATTTCAGACTTTTTAGTTCTTGTCCCTGTTAATCTTCAGGGAATTAGTTTTAAAAGTTTATCAGGCATTCATGCTGTTTTGAGAGAGAATTTCATGAATTTGTTCAATACAGGAGCAGGTTATATATTCTGCAGCACTATTTAACTCGTATGCTATAAATGTCCATAATGCATTCTCATTAAATATAAGGTCTCTAACCCTCATGGCTGTGAAGAAAACCTTTAGAATTTGAAACAGCTGTCAACTTATCTGTTGAAGTCTGATATACTGAAAGCCCAAAACACTAGTTTTGAACTACCCTTTTTCTCTTATATGGTTAATTTTTATACTTTGGTCTTTTAATTTCTAAATAACTTTTTTTTTCATTTATGGGTTATAGCAGAAATATCTGGCTACTTGTATAGCTGGATGTAGTTGCAGGTGTTGGGGTGGAGTGCTATGGAGAGCTTAGGTTTAAAAAAAGGGGCAAATGAAAAACTTGTCCCTTCAAATTTAGTTTCTTTCTCTGTTGTGTGGAAGAGGGAGATTTCCCAGACCAAATATCTTGACTGCTTTAATGGTGTAAAAATTGACACTTTTCTGTCCCTTATCTACCCGCCAAAATCTCTAGGCAGTTGTCTTTCCTGCCTGGTGCAGGGGGCTAGACCCGATCTTCCGAGATCCCTTCCAACCTTACAATCTATGAATCCAACTTACTCCATGTCATGCGTTTTCAGTGAACAAGGAACATTTGGTTCCTCCATTCAAGAAGTTGCCTAGAGATAAAAAGCTTGTTTACGTGAATACAAAGTTCCTGACCCATCTGATAATACCCTGAGAAGTGCCAAAGTGGTTTTAAAACTGTTGGTCACTTAAGCATCTATATATGATGTTAAGGTCTGCTGCAGAGGTTTTTATTGAAAACAGGAGCAAATAAAAGCTACTAGACTTCTGATAGCTTTCTGAACAGGGTTAAAAAATAGTTCACAAACACAATGATGGCAGTTGGTTTGTTTTCCCTGTAGGGGGCATGAGCAGACATGCCAAAAATTGCCTGGCCCTCAAAGCATGGTCGTCAAAGCAATTAATTTGCATCTAAAGATGGGCAGTCAGATTAAATGTGAGTCTTGATGATGGTGTTGATTTTAGGAGGTGGATTTTTGGAGCTAGGTGTGTGAGCCCTTATGAGTGTATTTTGCCTTCTGTTTTGAAAAAAATAGTTTATTGCAGCAGAAAACAATGCTGTGGAAGTAGGCCTTGAAATGTGGAAAACAGAAATAAAGAAACAGTGTTTTAATGGTGGCTAATTTCTCTTTGACTACCCCAGGATCGTCAAACATACAGGCTCCAGGCAATGTTTGAAATGTTGTAACTAACTTTTTTTTTTCCATTTATGGTTTGTAGCAGAAACATCTGGTTACTCTTTGTAGCTGGATGTAATTGCAGGTGTTGAGTTATAGAGAGCTTGTTGCTGTTAAGCAACATGAGCATTGCACATGTGTGCACCATGTGATGCCCATGTTGAACCAATTTTGTGTGCTGGCTCTGGGGCCAGTCCAGATTGGTCTGCACCAAAGCTAGCCACAGGGCTTTGCATGCCCTGTGCCAGCTCCCTGTACCATACATGGCTGGTATGGCCCTGTTTCAGGGCTTGTTCTACAGGTGGTGCATGGGGCCAGTACAGGGCATGCGCTGCATGGGCTCTGGTAAGGATAGATGGCCTGGGGCCTGATCTGGACCAGCCCTGGAGCCAGCAGGCAGGGCCAGCCTGGTGGGGTGCCCCATGCTTTGTCCTTGGCGCCATGTGCAGAGTGAACCCTGGACTGGGGCTTGCATCATGGTGCGTGGAGTTGGATTGACTACGTGTACCACCTGTAGTGCATGGGGGCCATTGTGGGCCTTGTGCTGTGTGTGACACCCTGCTGGAACTGCCCTTGTGTACTGACTCCAGGGAAGCCTGATCTGGCCCACAGACTAGCCCAGTGATGCTCAACTGGCCCCGCTGAGTTTGACACCTCTGGACTAGCCTATCCTTGGAAAGTGTGGAAGTAATGCTTTTGTGAAAGACTTAGGTTAGAAAAGTGGAAAATAGAGCCTTCTTCAGGAGGCTCACTTGCAGCGGACTGTCAGCATTCCTGGTTACGGTCAGCTTTCCAGCCCACTGTTGCTGGCTGCTTAGCAAATCAGACTCCCTGGATCAACTAGATGTTTGATAGGTTTTTCCATAGAAGCTTTGGTCAGGGCTATTCTGACAAACTCCATTTGAGCCTCTTTGTGACTGAACGTGCACCTCACAGGGAAGGTCATTTTCATGATGGCAGTGATTTTAGGTGATAGTGAGGGAATGTTAGATTTTAATGGCTGATCCACCTTAACTGTGGATGCATTCTAAATGCCTTCAAAACATTAACTGAATTCCGTCCTCTTAATCATTCTGTCTACATTAAACTGTATAATATCTATCCTTCAACTTCTTCACAAGAATTTTTCAGTACCCAGTTAAATGAGCTAAGAAAGATAGAAGTAGGATGTGACTTACAGTTCATACCTAGATGACTGAGAAGTCATTTATCTGGAGGAATATATGCTACACATATCTGTAGCTTCTTCAAAGATCTCTACAGTTCAAATCGGCAGAATCCTTCCAAGGGAGAAGCCATAAGGGACAGTCCAAAAGAATTAGGTCACTTCCTGATCTATGAGGAAACCCTGAAGCATAAGGTTTTTCCCTTTTGCAGACATGTTAGCAAAACCTGTTATGGTCATTAGGGTTGCATGGGTATAAACGAGGCTTTACCTTGCTTTTCACCAAGACTTGTTTTATTGGGGTGGTGTATAGATATTTTAGATCCTAAAGACAATATGTAATATGACAGATTAATTTTCCTATGGGAATGTTTTAAAAACTTTTACATTGGTATTGGTCAAATTGCATTGCTTTCTCTTCTTTCCCAAAGCCCCCATTAATCCCGTGTTCACTTTTAAATGGATATTTTCAAACATCTTTTCTTTTTTGCACTCCCCCCCCACCAGGAGGCTATTATCCAAATAATGAAAATGAGGAAGAAAATTACTAATGCTCAGCTTCAGACTGAACTGGTAGAAATATTGAAAAATATGTTCTTGCCACAAAAGAAAATGATAAAAGAGCAAATTGAATGGCTTATAGAGCACAAATATATCAGAAGAGATGAATCGGATATCAACACCTTCATCTATATGGCATAATTTGAAGACTGTAAGATGCCGAGAACAGATGCAGAAGGGTGCTTCGGCAGACAGCTGCAACAGTTTGTGCTGCAGAAGGACTCATTTTGACTTTCATTACATATTAAAATCCCTGCCTTGCCTTACAAGATGACTATGTTTTGTCAATCTCATTCAGCTAGCATGATGGCATTCCCTTCATGTTGCACACTTTTAACAGCATGCTGTTTTTGTGGGGAAACTTGCATTCATGAAGAGCCCATTGTGAGCTTTTTAAAGTAGATTTGATTTACACCCACCAGGAAGAGTACAGGTTTGGGTTTTTAGATGAACAGTACTTGCACAAGGAAGTTACTCAAATATTCATGCACTGAGGAACTGCTATTAGTTTTGTTTTTAAAAAAAAATGCAATTAGGACTAGAAGTAGCACTTTCACTTTGTTTTTGGATCAACAGAGTAACATGCTGTCCACCTTTTGGTCCTTTTTATGTATAACATGAGAGACGTACACAGATGCATCACAGCTGATGACATGTATTTGTTACAATAACAACCTGTTGGCTCAAGCAGTGCTTCAATATAGTAACTGGATTTTTAATATTGACACACAAGTGATGTAAACATATTTCCAACTTGTGGATGTCTTTTTTTTCCTTAAGCAGGAGATCACTGTTTTATATTGTTTGCTGTAAACATATGGATATACATTATTTGTTATCTTGCCTGGACAGATGGTTTATTACAATCCGTTTTGAAGAGGTGAAGCTTCCTTAGTAGTGATTCACCTTAAAAAAACATGTTTCATGGCTGGGTCTGTTTATGGTGAACAGAAATATTAAGTGTATTCCATTGTACATTTAATATTTTTCAGATGTTTAAGTATGACTACATAATCTGAATGCATTAAAAAAATTGATGAACAACTTCCCCAAATGAGCAAATAACACTCTTAAAGATCCCTGTGTTAAATTTTTCACTGGTATACATGTATAATAGAATCACATGTGGGTATTCTGGTGCTTTCACTGTTGAAAAGTCAAATCTCTTTTAAAAAAAAAAAAAAAGCAAGTAAGCTGCCTTGTAGTCAACAGGAGTTGAAAATGACCCCTGAAGGAAACCTACAAAGGCTTCATGGAGTTTCTGGTTTGCAGTTTTTATGTAGAAAGGTTGTATCAAAATACCTGTTGTGTATTTGGCATTTCAAATGGTACCTCTTTGTCCTTTTTCAACCATCTTAAGTAACCAGTTGGCAGTAATTTACCAGCCAGTGTTCTGAAATGTCCCAGCATGTTCTGGCATCATGACATCAATACCATTGGTACAGGGAGTCTGCCTTTTGGGGTTAAAAAAGAAAAAAGGTAAGTCATCATCTTTTACTCAGTGTGATTTGAAAACTCTTGTTTTTTTTATGCGCCACGAGGCAGGCTTGCAAAATTATCCTGAAAATGCTACTAGCCTAGGTACAGTCTATTTTATCTTTCATGGTAAATAAAATGGCAAGAGGATGTTCAGTTGTTACAAGAATTGAAAACTTGTCTTGAGTGGGGATCTGAATTTTTGCATGGTTTCTGCAATGGGTAAAATAAGTGTTTTAAAAAAATCTTCTCTAGATGGATATTTCCTCCCCTTGAAGCAGCTACATGTTCCAGCACTAAAGTATGGGCCGATGTGAGTTCCTTGGAATGTTGCGTTTTTGAATGATTTTCTGAAGAAATCTTCAGTTCTGAGATCAGCATCATGAACAAGCAAGAGGGAGAAAAAATGGGACACTGAAATCTTGTAGCTTGCATTTCTTTATTGATCTTCATAAATAGATAATATTAGCAAATACATTTTACCCTTTTTATGTTAGCACTGAAAGATCAGATTCTTATCCCTGCAATGTTTCAGAATCAAAAGTTAATGGTGCTTTCTAGTTTCGTAGTAACACACCTTCCACTATTTTCAGTTAAAAAGGTTATTTTTAATAATGGAGACCTTTCTGTACATGCTGCAATATCTTCAGCATTTGTGACTTGATTTTAAAATATAGCTAATTAAATGCTCATTTAGGAATACTAGGAAAGGGATGGCAAAGCCATAATCTTAAAATATTTTAATGATGCACTGAGCATTTGCGGTTTCCAGTGTTTGACGAGAGAAAAATAGCCATGATACACTGTCACATGCAAACAAACTCAATATGAAACTAGGTAGTCTTGATTCCTAAGCCCTTACCTAAGTTTAGGGAAGAAATTTGAGACTGACTTTCATAAACTTATGTACCAATTGTTTGTTGTACAATTAAGACAGCAATAGACTCTTACATGCTAGCTATCTGCATACCTCCCCACACACCTTGACTCGCTTCTTTTTTTTCTTTTTTTTTAATTACAACTTGCAAATTATTTAAACATTCTTCAGTTTGGGCAGGGGAATTTATAATTGATAATGTACCTATGGCATTGTTCAATTTTCTTTAAGTATATATAGGAAACATATTATGTGTTTAAAAAAAATGGAATCTGAAAATCACACCAGCAATTTGCTAAAGATGCAGAATCATATTTAGCATCCTTCATCAGGTCACTTTCACCAAAATGCACTTAAAGCTAGCGTTACCTGGGCATGGGGAGATATGCAGGGTGAAGTGTCTCAAGGGAGGGGAATGTTCAGATCAAAATAAAAATGAGATGTTTTTCACTTGCAATATGGCAACGATGCACTTTTTTAAAGTTGAATTTTTAGCTATGAATAAATATCTCCAAAGAGCTAGCTTAACAGGTGCTGCATCTGAAAAAAACATGTTGCCCTACACTGCCATGAGAATAGGTATGGAACTAACATATAGAAGTGAAAATACAGAAAGTGATTTATCTTGCTCTGTAGAAGTTTCATTGAGTTAAGAAATATTGGTAAATCCTTCTTTGTCCCAACAACTGGATAAGGTTTCAATTCTGAAGTCTTCCATTTTTCCCTTTCTACTGTTGGTGTCCCTGGTATTTACTTACTTATCTAAATCTCTTGCATTTATGTTTGAGCATAGTTACATTTCCAAAACAAATGGTGGCTTTCTTTTCACCTTTTTTCTTAAATTTAGTATAAAATGTTTTGAATACTCAACATTTTACATTTATTTGCATTGGGATGCCATTGTCCTGTAAGGTGCAAATTAAAAAAAAAAAAAATTAGGAAAAAAGATTTGATAGTTTTACAGAAAGCTTTGCTATCTTAAACTCAATCTGTTTTTCTGTTTTCATCTAAATGACTGGGATGCTATCTTTGTAAATTCTTTGAGGTCATATTTGTGAAATAAACAATACATGAAAGCTTCCCCGTCATACACTATATGTAGTCTGGAGTGCTGACCAACTTGAGTTCCTGAATTGTAATAACTATCTACATATGGTATTTACAATTTTGAATGTGTGCCACTACATACCAAGATGATAATGCTGTACAATTTTGAATAGTAGCAGTTTCTGTATGGCAGTCCAGCTGAACTATTTTGATGTACTGCTTAATTTTTGAATTTTATTTTTTAAGTTGTATAATTTATTTTCTTGCAAAATAAAAATGTAATATAAAAGACTATTCACTTTTTTAGCAAGATATTTTCGTGTCAATCCCTGCAACTTTTTTAAGTTGAAGATGTACTTTTAGGTCATACATTTGGAAATACTGCTGTGCAGAATATAACCTAATTCCAGCTTCCAATGTCTTTTATGAGGTGATCAGAGGACTAAAAGAAATGAGAGAACAACATTTTTAAGTCCTTTCTTGCATATATAGTTTTTGGGGTTTTTTTAAGTATGTGGGAGTATAGTATATGTAAAGCTATTGGAGCTTTTCCATACTTTAGGAAAGTAAATCCTAAAGACTTAAGCAAGTGGAATTCAGAAATCCTAACCAGGCACCTAAGTTCCCTTTACAATAAGTGGTGAGTAAGAACAAATAAATGCAGGGGAGGGTGTGTCTGAAATCCTGTCTCCTACACTGCAAATCGGAGTTGGACACCTATGTGAAACTAGGGTTTACAGCATGAAAGCCTGTGCTGCACTTAAATCATCCCTTTGGGCATAGGCAACTAGTTCACTCCTTTCTCCTGAAGCACAGCTGGCTGAGGAGGTGGTGAGTGATGACTAAGTAGTTAGAGTGGACATTGGCAACTGTTAGGAGCAGTGGGCTGCTTCAGTGGTACCAGCTTCAGAAGTGGACAGCCACTTCTGACTGACTGGCTGGCATCAGTGCTTCTGTTTCTCCTGCTACTAGTGCTAACCTCCCACAGACTTGCCACAGATTTTTCCTGATGCCAGAGTGCCGCAAACATCTGGACTTGTGGATTGGGCCAGACACAGCCCATGGACTGTAGGTTGCTAGCCTCTGGAATAGAGCACTTGTCCAGGAAGTGAAAGAGTTTGGGTGCCTGTGCATGATCACAGAGGCTGCTCCGACGTGCTAGAATTACAGTGTATCGGAGCAGATTCAATTAATCAAGCCTGCTGGAGTATGGTAGCAGGCATCATTATCCCCATGCTTAAAAATGATGGCAGGGGCCCTTGAACTAAAGCTTGTCAAACAAGCTTTAATTCAAGTGCACCTGCTGCCATTTGTAATCCATAGTGATAAAAACATTCTGACATTATGGTCTGCCTGAGTCCTTCATAACGGAAGAATTGCTCTATTTTTTTCTGTAGTCAGTGTAGTCACTGCTTTAGACTTTGCTCTTCTGCTTCAAGTTGTGCATAGCACTGTGCAACCAAGAATGCAAAATCCATAGGGCCAGAGCCACAGCAAAGAACACAGGAGCACTCTATAGCCCAGTAATAACACCACTCCCCTGGGGGGGGAAGAAGCCTGGTTTTCAGTCTCCACTTCCAATATATGTATTTAATAAATAACTTATTAATACACAATACATAAATAGTCCATGGAGCAGTGACCAGAATCCAGGTATTCCTGCACTGTCAGGTGGATGTCCTTATCACTTGGTTTTTTCAGATGCATGTTCCATCTTAAGCGGTCTCCTCCTAGATCCATGAATCTGGAATTCTTTGCTGTCCAGTGGTCTGGCTTCCAAAAGGAAGGGGGGAGATTGCTTCCATCCTAGCTTGGTTTACAACTCGGTGGTTAGCATTCTCCTGGGAGGTGGAAGATGTGGTTTGCAGCCCCCTCAGGCTGAGGAGAGCCTATAACTCAGGTCCCCATTCTCTGGGCAGGTACTGTAATCAGTAGGACAGCACAAAATGTGGTCAGTGGCACTATTTCTTGTTTCTGGTATATTTCTTTGAACATGGCTCCAATTCATGTGGGTGAAGCATGTCCTGAGCATTTACCCGTGATCCCTGTGGGGCATGTGCAGGGACATCTAGAATCTAAAATGGCATGGGGCACATGAGGAGTGCCAAGCTGCTTTGCTCTGCCAAGACAGCAGTGTGGCTGGGCATGCGCAGAAGCTGAACTTTCAAGTACATACATAAGTTTTCTGGCAAAAGTGTAGGTGTCTATAGACTCAAGTGCTGAAGTATTATGGCAGGGACTTTATGCATTGTTCACTTGGGCTTAGGCACCTAAATTCTTCTAGATGTACATCAGATGTTTAAGTGCTTTTTTTCCCCTCTTTAATCACCTGGCATTCCTTTTTAAAAATTAACTGTAAATTCACAAGGGAAGATTTATGAAATTGGGAAATGTGGCAGAAAGTTCTCATTGTGGCTCAAGAATTTTTACTGCATATATTTAGTTGATCATCTTTTTTAAATGCATGCACCTCCATGAAATCCTTTGGCACATCTTTGACTGCTAGATACTTCCCGAAACACCTCACACAGCAGAATCTCAGATTATAATAGCTCTTTTGATTATTTATTTGATACTGACAAGTTGAGGGAACCTTTCGGAAGCTGATACCACATGCATAACATAAGACAAGGTGCAGGAAAACAACACAGGCACTGTTACTGATGTGATGGGGGTTTTTTATTTGCCTGTCATTGCCTTCTTGCCTGATTTTAATTATTTAAAGTGCACCATGTTCTTCAGAATGTTCTATGCCTTCTGGTATTTTCCAAGTTCATAATTCTTTCCACTGAACACTTTTTTTTTTTTTTTTAATAATTCAGTGCTTGTAGCAATTTTCAGACTGCTTCTTACAGACAGACACCTTCACACCCTGCTGCCAAGTCTTCTCAACTCTGTTTAGCAGAGCTTGCTGTTGGGGGTCCATTGCTTGTCCTGTGAAATCTCTTTTGGCGGTACATGTCTGCTATCCCCTGCCAACTAGTCGGCTAAGCATGATGGTGATTTCTGTGCAATTTATCTACTAGGTATATTTTTATAAAAAATGCCAGTATTGTAATCCTTGGATAGAAACTGTCCTAAACTTCTAACTTCAAACAATTTTCAAGCAAGTTATGCAAAGGTGAAGGGATCTCAATTTCAGTCTTACGAACAATTTAGTTCCATAATACATTTGACTGTTCCTGTGGTATTATATCTAAACTTCCTTGCTACATTTTGGCTAAAGTAGAATTACTTATCATGTGTATTGCCATGTCACATGACCTTCTACTTCTTCTAAGGTCTTACCTAAATTGCATTCTTGGAAACTCTAATCTCTGAAATGTCCCATGGACATCAGGAGTCAGATCCTCTGACACAATCTAGGGAGCACATGACACTTGGCACCCTCTTCCATTTTTTTCCATTAAGCTTCATTGCATGCTGTGTTCAGTTATCATGGTGCAAATGCCTGCACTTCACTGGTGTTGGCAGTGTGACTGTGGGTGTCCTAGTATATGAATTGTTTGAAATTGTTCTAATGTTCTATAAAGTGTTTTCAGTGGCTTCTGGATGAAAGGCAAAAGCACTATTGAAAGCATGAGAATTATGTTTAGTTTTTTTTAACATCCTTCTTCACTATTGTCATTTTGAAGAGGTTTGGAGAATACTTTGATCTGCTCTGATTCACTGCTATTCATCAAGTATAAAGTTTAAACTCCTTTTTGCTTCTTTAATTCTTCTAGATTTTAGTTTGTACCACAGTCCATAGCAAACTGATGTTTACGTAACTCAAATCCCAGTGTAAACTAGTCGTATTTGAGACATGTCTGCTTCATAGCTAAATCTTAGTTTACAATTTGAAGAACTCTTAGATAACTTTATTTTTCTGTTTTAACATAGCTTGTCTTGGGATCTTATCTTCTAGTCCACAGAAACTGCTGTTCATTCTGCAGAAAACATTGATAAATTACCTGATACACTAGCTTACCTTTTAAGATGGGTACAGAGAGCTTCTCCTGTGTTTCCTGACTCATGCTTCTTCGGTCTTCAAGATCAAGAATTATTCTAGGGTGACAAAAGAGACCATAACATTTTAAAGTATATTCAATTTTAACAAAAGTTTGCTGAATTAGAAAACACTTATTTTCATAAGTGCAGTCTGCATTGCCATGTGGCTGTAATGCAGCCAAGAAATTGAATGAGACCTGTAAACTTGGCTTTTGTTTGTAATTTTGGTTCATTTCAGAATCTAGTATTAGAACACACACCCATTTCAAATTCTTATACTCTAGTTTAAAAAATAATGCTAAAGACTTAAATTCTTTTTAAAGTCAATATCTGGTGTCTGAGAGATGTGGCACTCTATCAGAAATTGGGTTTTTAGTTGATTTGTTATCTTTTTAAAAAAATTTAAAATAAAAGCTATTTTCCAGTAATTGTCCAGGCCTTCCATCTTGTTACAAGGAGTCGGGCTAATTAACATGCATTACTGGGGGAAAAAGGAGGAATCCTGCTGATATTTATGTAAGTCCTAAGGTTTGCCTTCTAATCTAGAGAGCTTCCTGAGTTACAGACCAAAGCAAAGGCTGAGGCCAAAGTTTGAAAAAATAAGTGAAAATTGCACCTGGCCTCAGAAGGAAACCAGATGGGAAGCAGTGGAAGAAGAGGAAAAGAAAATAATACCATCATTGGTGGTTTCCCACCCACTTCACGCCCTGTCAGGATATTTCTCCTGCTGCATTATAAAACCAGTATTCGGTATTTGAAGGGACAGTTTTTACCACCCGGTGCTGCTTCTAACGCCCTATATCCAAAGGAGGAATCCTGGAATTAGAAGTCCAGCTGCTGATGTGAGGATGACAGTGTTGCTGCCTTACCTGTGCTGTAGTAATGAGTATAAGTATGTTGCCTATTAGCCATTATTGAAAGGGCCTGAATATAAATATATAGAAAAGAGACATAACAAAGTAAGTGTAAGTGATTTATAGTAAAACGAAACTTAAGATAACAGAATGAAACCGCACCAATCGGGTTCTGAGCATACAAGGTTATTAGGTTACTTTAGAGCAATTGGGAAGTCCCAGGAACTGGCTCGGACCAGAAAAAATTGCTCAAAACTGGGTCAGTGAAGTGAAACAGGCATGCGCCAGATGCTGCATCTGTACCCAAATATGGGACTTATGGCGAAGCGGAGTAGGAGGGGGGCCATGACGCCAACTCACTCCATAAAAGCCAAGCATAAGCAATCCCAATTCGGAGGAGAACTCGCTTGCAGAGCATCAAAGGAAGAATCGCAAGTAGTTCACGTTGCAGCCTGATCAACTGTGCAGAGTCCCCAAGACAAATAACTCACTTTAAGTGAACCAGTTATCTTGCCTGAAAGCCGCAGAACACCAAGCCAGCAATGTCTTGTCTGACTTGGTAACAGAATAGAATAACCAAGTATGCTACACCTATTGGTGTGGTAAGTATGAAATGTGAATAATACAAATAATTCTGAAATCAGTAAAGTAGTTGTAACCTGTAACTGTTCTTGTAATCCCTTTTCTGTAGTAGTATTATCAACAGAAACAGGAGCAGCAATTTCTCTCGTAGTTTTGTGTGTTTGTGTATGTTGTGTTTCGTATTGTTTATGAAAGCTAAGCAGTTGTACAAGCGATCTAAGGAGTGGTAAATTAGTTAATACATTGTGCGTAATAAAGGAAGCTTAACAGTTAATAACACCTGACTCAGAAATCTCCTCAGTACTTACCCTTCACATTCCTACATTCCAACTCCTTTGGCCCTGGAGCTTTACCGCATCCACACGGTAACAACCTGCCTTGTGAGTTTTAGATGGGGAAGGACAGGGTTTCTCCCAATAGACGAGGATGCTGGCGAGGGATGAACAGAGTGCAGCAGCCAATTGTCTTGGGAATTTGCAGTAAGCTATCATAGGATCTGGTGAGGAACTTGGGGAAGCCCGAAGAGGGCCTGATGAGCAAAGTAATACTTGAAAGTAGGTAAATGAAAGAAACTGGCTGAATGGTGGAGACTAGTCTCAGAAGGTCGTCTTGTGTCCTGTCCAAGATTGATGATGGGTATTTAGCAGAATTTGCAGATCCGTTAGAATCTGACGGGGCCGTGAGATGAGTGCTTCTGCTATGGCCGCTGTGGCAGTCAGAACTCTTCGAAGGTCTGTTAGTCCTAAAGGTTCAGCGGGGGAAGTATGCACCCATGTTTCTAGGCAGCTGGTTCAAACAGGATTCTGAAAAAAGGAAGAGTAGTTTTTTGGAAAGCCAACCATCAGAAGAGGTCCCCCTCTCCTTCCCTCCCCTCTCCCCCCCCCCCCCCCCCCCCTTACATTTGGAAACGTCACCTTGCAACAAAATGTGAACCAGTTTCTGTGGGTTGCAAAACGTACTCTATCTACAAGGTGGAAGTTGGATAGCTGGTCCTATATGAGTAGCCCTGTGGGGGAAGGGGCTTAGTCTCCAGTGACATAGTATTTCCTGCTGGAACTC